CTCTGATTGGGAGCCATATTTAAACTGTCGGTTTTTCCTTTGTTTTTGTGGGTTCTTGTTTCAAGTTGGTTGTGTTTGACCGTGAACTGTCACGTTACCATCTTTGTTGTTTTGATCGTGTTTCGCTCAATAAAGAGTATGTTTGCCTGCAACGCTGCGCCTTGGTCCTCATCTGTTCCTGACGATCGTGACAGAAGAACCCACCAAGACAGGACCAAGCAGCGTGAAGAGCAGAGAGGTTGGTCTATGGAGCAGTGGAGTAAGAGTCTCGACTGGGCCAAGCCAAGTGAGGAGCAGAAAGGTTGGACTTTGAAGCAGTGGAGTGAGTGTCTGGCTAGAGACATGGAGGCCTGGTCCAAGAGGAGAGCCGCCCAGAAATTCTTTAGGGGGGGGCTCACGACTTGGACGTCGGGGCAGCAGGAGGCCGCGATAGAGCGGTCCAGCGGGTCGGCAGAGGAGGCCGCCAGGTTACGGGGGCCACTGGTGTTAAAGGGGAAGGAAAGTGTAGAGGCACGGCGAGAGGTACTGGGGTGTGTTACCAGTCCGGTCCGGCCCGTTCCAGATCCCGAGGTAGAGCCAGTGGTGTGTGTCCCCAGTACGGTCCGGCCTGTCCCTGCTCCACGCACCAAGCCTACGGTGTGCGTCGCCAGCCCAGTCCGGCCTGTCCCTGCTCCACGCACCAAGCCTACGGTGTGCGTCGCCAGCCCTGTAAAGCCCGTTCCGGCTCCACGCACCAAGCCAGGGGTGCGCATCGTCAGCCCGGTCCGGTCCATTCCTGCTCCACGCACCAAGCCAGGGGTGCGTATCGTCAGCCCGGTCCGGCCAGTTGCTACTCCACGCACCAAGCCAGGGGTGCGCATCGTCAGCCCGGTCCGGCCAGTTGCTACTCCACGCACCAAGCCAGGGGTGCGCATCGTCAGCCCGGTCCGGTCCATTCCTGCTCCACGCACCAAGCCAGGGGTGTGTATCGTCAGCCCGGTCCGGCCAGTTGCTACTCCACGCACCAAGCCAGGGGTGCGCATCGTCAGCCCGGTCCGGTCCATTCCTGCTCCACGCACCAAGCCAGGGGTGTGTATCGTCAGCCCGGTCCGGCCAGTTGCTACTCCACGCACCAAGCCAGGGGTGCGCATCGTCAGCCCGGTCCGGTCCGTTCCTGCTCCACGCACCAAGCCAGGGGTGCGTGTCGTCAGTCCGGCTCCGGCCAGCAGGGCCAGACCGGACCAGGGGTACTTTGGGGGGTTGGAGAGGGAGTGGGGATCAGGCCCGGAGCCGGATCCGCCGCCAAGGCGGAGTGCCCACCCGGTCCCTCCCCTGTGGTATTTAGTTGGCGCGGTCGGAGTCCGCGCCTTTAGGGGGGGGTACTGTCACGCCCTGGCTCTGGGGACACTGTTATGTTGAGCCAGGGTGTGTAGATCTAGGTACTCTATTTCTATGTTGGCCTGAGTGACTCCCAATCAGAGGCAACGAGTGTCAGCTGTTTGCTGGTTGTCTCTGATTGGGAGCCATATTTAAACTGTCGGTTTTTCCTTTGTTTTTGTGGGTTCTTGTTTCAAGTTGGTTGTGTTTGACCGTGAACTGTCACGTTACCGTCTTTGTTGTTTTGATCGTGTTTCGCTCAATAAAGAGTATGTTTGCCTGCAACGCTGCGCCTTGGTCCTCATCTGTTCCTGACGATCGTGACAAAAGCATGGCCAGCCATAGCAAAATGCTTGTTGAAATTCTCGATTATTGTAGATTTATTGGTGGTGATAGTGTTTCCTAGCCTCAGTGCAGTGGGCAGCTGGGAGGAGGTGCTCTTATTCTCTATGGACTTTACAGTGTCCCAAAACTTTTTGGAGTTAGTGCTACAGGATGCAAATTTCTGTTTGAAAAAGTTAGCCTTTGCTTTCCTAACTTCTTGTGTATATTGGTTCCTAACTTCCCTGAAAAGTTGCATATGCTAATGCAGTACGCCACAGGATGTTTTTGTGCTGGTCAAGGGCAGTCAAGTCTGAGGAGAACCAGGGGCTATATCTGTTCTTAGTTCTGTAATTTTTGAATGGGGCATGTTTATTTAAGATTGAGAGGAAATTACTTTTAAAGAACAACCAGGCATCCTCTACTGACGGAATGAGATCTATATCCATCCAGGATACCTGGGCCAGGTCAATTAGGAAGGCCTGCTCGCTAAAGTGTTTTAGGGAGTGTTTGACAGTGATGAGGGGTGGTCGTTTGACCGCTGAGATCCTGGTTGAAGACAGCGGAGGTGTATTTAGAGGGTAAGTTAGTCAGGATGATATCTATGAGGGTACCCATGTTTACGGATTTAGGGTTGTGCCTGGTAGGTTCGTTGATAATTTGTGTGAGATTGAGGGCATCTAGTTTGGATTGTAGGATGTCCGGGGTGTTAAGCATATCCCAATTTAGGTCACCAAGCAGTACGAACTCTGAGGATAAATGGGGGGCAATCAATTCACATATGGTGTCCAGGGCACAGCTGGGGGCTGAGGGGGGTCTGTAGCAAGAGGCAACAGTGAGAGACTTATTTCTGAAAAGGTGGATTTTTAGAAGTAGAAGCTCAAACTGTTTGGGCACAGACCTGGATAGTATGATAGAGCTCTGCAGGCTATCTCTACAGTAGATTGCAACTCCACCCCCTTTGGCAGTTCTATCTAGACGGAAAATGTTGTAGTTGGGGATGGAAATTTCAGAATTTTTGGTGGCCTTCCTAAGCCAGGATTCAGACACTGCTAGAACATCAGGGTTGGCGGAGTGTGCTAACGCAGTGAATAACTCTAACTTAGGAAGGAGCCTTCTGATGTTAACGTGCAGAAAACCAAGGCTTTTACGGTTACAGAAGTCAACAAATGATAGCTCCTGGGGAGTAGGAGTGATACTGGGGGCTGCAGGGCCTGGGTTAGCCTCTACATCACCAGAGGAACAGAGGAGGAGTAGAATAAGGATACGGCTAAAGGCTTTGGTATTCTAGTGCGTTGGGTACAGAGAATAAAGGGGGCAGATTTCCGGGCGTTGTAGAAAAGATTCAGGGCATTATGTACAGACAAGGATATGGAAGGATATGAGTACAGTGGAGGTAAACCTAAGCGTTGGGTAACAATGAAAGAGATAGCATCACTGGAGGCACCGATTGAGCCGGTCTCGGCGTGTATGGGGGGTGGAACAAAGGAACTATTTGAGGCAGTTTGAGAGGGACTTGGGGTTCTCCAGTGAAATTGTATAATAAGAACTAACTGGAACAGCAATAGACAAGGCATATTGACATGGGAGAGAGGCATAAAGCAATAACAGGTGTTATTAGAGAGAGCTAAGACAACAACTGGTAATGGCGATAAAGTTTGGGCTGAGGCTAAACAGAATAAACAGGACAGGGTACCGTGTAAAGGAACAGTCCAGCAGGCATCAGCTGTGCAGCTGAGTGATCATAAGGTCCAGTGAACAGCAATATGTGAGTCTGAGAGCAGTTCAAATTGGTGCTTCAGCACAGCGAGCAGGAAGCACGGTTGTAGTTTGCATGTGCTAGCGGGCCGGGGCTAGCAGATGGATCTTCGTGGTCGTCACAACGGGAAGCCTGTTGAAACCACAGACGATTACGTCGGCAGACCAGTCGTGATGGATCGGCAGGGCTCCGTGTCGACTCTAGGAGGTCCCGTCCGGTTGACAGAGAGGTAGATAGCCGGGAGATGTGCCTGACTCAAGGCTAGCTCAAGGCTGATTAGCCAACAACAACGTTCATTTGGTTGCAGCTAGCTAGTTGCGATTATCCAGTGTTAAAGGTCCAGTGATTCAGTGATTCCGGCAGAAAATCTGGGTCGATAACTCGCTGTGCAGACAGTGCAGACTGGCCGATAATAGTCCAGGCTAGAGCTGGCTGGTAGGTAGTGCAGGCCACGGACAATGGAGAAAAGCCGCTAACGGTGGCTAATAGCAAGTAGCTAGTTAGCTGGTTAGCTGGCTACTCCCGTCCGGTAGACAGAGAGGTAGATAGCCGGGGCTAGCTCAAGGCTAACTGGTGCTATGGGGGCAGTGGTGATTAGCCTACAACATTAGCGAGTAGAAACTTGGAAGCGGTGGGTGGTGTGCGTGCCTTCTAAGTAGAACCAGCAGGCCGCTCCGAGTGCCTCTCCTCCGCCGGTGATGTTTTGGGTCAGTCGCTGGAATCAGTTCAGTTGCCCTGGGGAGAGCAAACAAAGGATCTGCTTCGGGGAAGTTGTATTCCTGTTCGTAATGCTGGTGAGTTACCGCCGCTCTGATATCCAATAGTTTCCCCCAGCTGTATGTAATGATGCAAAACACTTTCTGAGCTAATAATGTTTACATATCTTGCACTACTCATCTCATATGTATATACTGTTTTCTATTCTATAATATTCTACTGTATCTTAGTCCATGCCGCTCTGTCATTGCTTGTCCATATATGTATATATTCTTACATTTCATTCCTTACTAGATTTGTGTGTATTGGGTATATGTTGTGAAATTGTTAGATATTACTTGTTAGATATAACTGCACTGTCGGAGCTAGAAGCACATGCATTTCGCTACACCCGCAATAACATCTGCTAAACACGTGTTTGTGACAAATACAATTAGATTTGATTTGATCTGTTTCTGATTTGTCATTATGAGGGAAAAAATTATTGTATCCATTTTAGAATAAGGCTGTAACGTAACAAAATTTTGAAAAAGTGAAGGGGTCTGAATACTTTCCGAATGCACTGTATATAAAAAGATTACCCCAAAATACACTAGTATCCCTATAACTATAACCAGATGAAATGGTGGGTCTACAGGTGCCATTAACTTACCTCTGGGGTGAAGTTTCCCCCTAGGTACAGAGCTAGGATTGGCTTCACTTCCCCAATCCTAACCTTAATGATTAGTGGGGGAAATGTTACATTTACCCAAGATCAGCATCTAGGGGCAACTTCACTACACCAGTGACTCACCTCGATCTCTTGATAAGAGCTGTTGATCATGGCGATCAGCATGTTGAGCAACACCACCACCATGGTCACATTGTAGATTCCATAGAGCACATAGCCGATGTTCTCGATGAACTTGTGGTTGTACTTGAGCACCACGGAGGACACCTCAGACAGTCCAAATATAGACCAGAACAGAGTCTTGAAGCTCTCCTCCACCCTGTTGTGACAAGGAAGGAAGGGGATAAGAAAGTTACAGGACAGGCTGATCAGATTGGGGGTTTCTATTTCGTGGTTAAACTACATTTAGCTTTTGCCCAAAGTGACAGGCGATAAAGTGCTGCTTCAAATAAAGTGTGCTCATGTGTAGCCTAACTTATAAGGGGCAAACATGTAGCTGTATGATGTGTGGGGAATGAACCAAATATCTTAGCATGTCTTGCTTAATACTAAAATTAGATGACTGCATCATCCTGTGTTATAGTATTCTGTTTGCCAAAGTCCCTTCGAGAAACATTTATAACGAGATTGAAGGACAGCTTCGTGAGAATTGTTGCCATGAAATTATATATTTTTATTTCAGGTGATGTTGCTGTATTTTATATTTTGTGTAATATGATTTCCACAGATGTCCTTGGTAAGGGCAGAAATGACCATTGTGACTCCTGGCAATGTTAGATGTGTGTGTGTTCCATTTATGCCAAGGCAACTTGGCTAATTACATTTTAGTCATTTAGCAGACGCTCTTATCCAGAGCGACTTACAGTTAGTGAGTGCATACATTTTTCATACTGGCCCCCCGTGGGAAACGAACCCACAACCCTGGCGTTGCAAGCGCCATGCTCTACCAACTGAGCTACACGGGGCCCTAATGAAATTCAATATGGACACTAAGACAATTCAGGAAAACAATAACCATAACAATGGGAAGGATTTCATTTTCTCAGCCTCAGCTTGGAAAGAGTAACCTTGGCGGTAATCCACTCCAGTGTGAAATTAGTTATTTTTGCTGAGCTGCCACAAGCTCGGCGGTGCCTTTTCCAATTCAGTTTTGAGGAACTCTTAGAAAGGGAGTCCAAGGTGGGCCATTTTCAACTTGATTCTGCACTACAATGACTGAGTCGATAGACTGAGTGAGCTAGCACTGCATGAATGGGCTCAATAGAGGAAGAAAAGAGCTCCCTACATGAATGGAGAACTCATTTGTTGAATTTAAAAAAAAATGTGTTTAATGTAGATAGGTCCCAGGCAGTCTTACTTTATAAATGTGTACCAATCTTATTCTCTAGTCTTATGTTTTAGAAGTGTATTCATTTTAGGGGCTTTGGGGACAAAACAGTATGGTTGAATGTGTACAAAGCCTCCCTACTGACTGTCAGTCCATACACAGTAACTGTGTACGGAGTAGTTCCTGTCACTGACTCCAGACCTCCCTGAGTGACCATCAATTAAGGTTCTCTTATGTGGTGAGTACCCATAAGTCTGTCCCCATAAGTATCTCCCCATACGTCTATTCCAATAAGTATCCTCTATACACAAGTGTCCTCTATATGTCTGCTATATCACTCACGTGGTGAAGGCCGGGTTGACCTTGGCACCCAAGTAGTAAGAATAGAGGATGAACATGCCGATCATGAACGCCAGGAAGACCATGATGAACAGGACCATAAACTTGAAGATGTCTTTGACCGTGCGGCCCAGGGAGATCTGGAGTGGTCCAAAGCTCTCATTAGCCGGCAGAATGTAGGCAATGCGTGTGAAGCTCAGCACCACAGCGATGGCGTACAGTCCTTCTGAGATCAGCTGGGGGTCCGACGGCAGCCATTTGTCCCTTGCTACGTGGAAGAATGGGCAACAGTCAGTCGTTTTCTTATCACTCACAGTAACATGTACAATGTGTTTAATGCATTGTGCTATATGACTGTTCTACACAATGGTTGGGTTACACTTTGTTTTACAGTCCGACTAGGTCTTTGTGGGCTTTGAAGTAACACAGCAAATTGTAATTATATAATAATTCCCCTAAAAGTAGTCTTTTGTTTCTTTAGGATTCATCAACACAAGCATCAATACATATAATTTCTCAGTAAACCTCGTAATTTCTCAGTAAATATCAGGTAAAACTAAATGAAACAGGACTATAAAATAAAATGCTACCACTATTTGCATAGGCCACTTATGCTCTCAATGTCAAATTAAAAACAGGTGTTTGTGTGATTTTAAATGTTGCCCTTTTGCATGTTCTAATGATATATCTAATGATCCTTTTTCTCCCTTCTGTGTGCAGTGTACCAGGTGGATGATGTTGCACTTAAAATAATTATGTACGTGTATCTCACTGTGCACAATTAGACAATTAGAGCTTAACCTGTGTTAATAATCTAATGATTCTTGAGATTAGTGTGCCTGCCCTTAAGCATAATCATTGATAACACCGTTACACGTCTTGCAGGGCAAGTGGTTAGGAAAAATTAGTATTGACATTTGTGGTGGTATTTGTAGATGTGTGTAAGATGCCTACTTGTCTCAACTGTATCACGGGTATAAGAAGATGGCGCTGCAGTGGATAGCTGCCGTCTTACGGCTCCTGACGAATTCTGCTATAAAAAAATTTAAAACCTGCTGATCTTACATTTTTTGGTACATAATGTTTCTCGCCATCATTTTATATGACCGAAAACTGCTTCTGGACATCAGAACAGCGATAATTAACCTCGATTTGATGACGATTTCTACTTCAACGAGTTGACAGCTTTGGACATTTTGCTTACCACGGACCAGGCCCTGATCCATGGGACTCGGAAGAGGAAGCAGCGGCGAAAGAGAGGCAAGCAAGGTGGTGTCTTGACGAGACTACGTCGGCGAGCAAGTAGACCACCATTGACCTCTGTTTTGTTGGCGAACATGCAGTCACTGGAGAACAAACTGGATGAGCTCCATTCGAGACAATCCTATCAACGGGACCTGAAAAAACTGTAATATCCTATGTTTCTCAGAGTCGTGGCTGAACGAGGACATGGATATACAACTCACTGGTTTTTCTATGCATCGTCAAGATCAGACGTCAGACTTGGGTAAGGCGAGAGGGGGAGGGATGCGTGATCTCTAATGTTAAGGAAGCCTACAGTTTTTGCTTGCCTGAGTTAGAATACCTCATGATAAACTCCAGACCATACTATTTAACAAGAGACTTTCCATCTATATTTTTCGTAGATGTCTATTTACCACCACAAACCAATGCTAGCACTAACACCACACTCAACGAGCTGTTTAGGGCCATAAACAAACAAGAAAATGCACATTCAGAGGCCGCGTTTTAATGCAAGAAAACTGAAATACGTTTGACCAGATTTTTACAAGCATGTCACCTGTGCAAATAGAGGCAACACAACTCTAAATCACCTTTACTCCACACTCAGAAACGCATACAAGGCCCTCCCTCGCCCTCCTTTTGGGAAATCAGACCCTAACTCTATCCTCCTGATTCCTGCTTACAAGCAAAAGCTCAAACAGGAAGTACCAGTGATGCGCTCAGTACGGAAGTGGTCTGAGGAAGCGGATGCTAAGCTACAGGACTATGTTGCTGGCACAGAATGGAATATGTTCCGGGATTCATACGATAACATTGAGGAGTTTTACCACATCAGTTACCGGCTTCATTAATAAGTGCATCGACGACGTTGTCTTCACAGTGACCGTATGTACAGTTGAAGTCGGAAGTTTACATACACTTAGGTTGGAGTCATTAAAACTAGTTTTTCAACCACTCCACACATTTCTTGTTAACAAACTATAGTTTTGGCAAGTCGGTTAGGACATGTACTTTGTGCATGACACAAGTAATTTTTCCAACAATTGTTTACAGACAGATTATTTCACTTATAATTCACTGTATCACAATTCCAGTGGGTCAGAGGTTTACATTCACTAAGTTGACTGTGCCTTTAAACAGCTTGGAAAATTCCAGAAAATGATGTCATGGCTTTAGAAGTTTCTGATAGGCTAATTGACATAATTTGAGTCAATTGGAGGTGTACCTGTGGATGTATTTCAAGGCCTACCTTCAAACTCAGTGCCTCTTTGCTTGACATCATGGGAAAATGAAAATAAATCAGCCAAGACCTCAGAAAAAAATGTGTAGACCTCCACAAGTCTGGTTCATCATTGGGAGCAATTTCCAAACACCTGAAGGTACCACGTTCATCTGTACAAACAATAGTATGCAAGTATAAACACCATGGGACCATGCAGCCGTCATACCGCTCAAGAAGGAGACGTGCTCTGTCTCCTAGAGATGAACCTACTTTGGTGCGAAAAGTGCAAATCAATCCCAGAACAACAGCAAAGGACCTTGTGAAGATGCTGGAGGAAACCGCTCAGCAAGGAAGAAGCCACTGCTCCAAAACCGCCATAAAAAAGACAGACTACGGTTTGCAACTGCACTTGGGGACAAAGATCGCACTTTTTGGAGGAATGTCCTCTGGTCTGATGAAACAAAAATAGAACTGTTTGGCCATAATGACCTTCGTTATGTTTGGAGGAAAAAGGGAGTCTTGCAAGCCGAAGAACACCATCCCAACCGTGAAGCACGGGGGTGGCAGCTTCATGCTGTGGGGGTGCTTTGCTGCAGGAGGGACTGGTGCACTTCACAAAATAGATGGCATCATGAGGAAGGAAAATTATGTGGATATATTGAAGCAACATCTCAAGACATCAGTCAGGAAGTTAAAGCTTGGTCGCAAATGGGTCTTCCAAATGAACAATGACCCCAAGCATACTTCCAAAGTTGTGGCAAAATGGCTTAAGGACAACAAAGTCAAGGTATTGGAGTGGCCATCACAAAGCCCTGACCTCAATCCTATAGAACATTTGTGGGCACAACTGAAAAAACGTTTGCGAGCAAGGAGGCCTACAAACCTGACTCAGTTACACCAGCTCGGTCAGGAGGAATGGGCCAAAATTCACCAAACTTATTGTGGGAAGCTGCTGGAAGGCTACCCGAAATGTTTGACCCAAGTTAAACAATTTAAAGGCAATGCTACCAAATACTAATTGAGTGTATGTAAACTTCTGACCCACTGGGAATGTGATGAAAGAAATAAAAGCTGAAATAAATCATTCTCTCTACTATTATTCTTACATTTCACATTCTTAAAATAAAGTGGTAATCATAACTGACCTAAGACAGGGAATTTTTACTAGAATTAAATGTCAGGAATTGTGAAAAACTGAGTTTAAATGTATTTGGCTAAGGTGTATGTAAACTTCCGACTTCAACTGTACATACCCCAACCAGAAGCCATGGATTACAGGCAACATCCGCACTGAGCGAAAGGCTAGAGCTGCCACTTTCAAGGAGCGGGACATTCATCCAAAGCTTATAAGAAATCCCGCTACACCCTCCGACGAGCCATCAAACAGGCAAAGCATCAATACAGGACTAAGATCGAATCCTACTACGCCGGCTCTGATGCTCGACGGATGAGGCAGGGCTTGTAAATTATCATGGATTATAAAGGGAAACCCAGCCGTGAGCTGCCCAGCGACATGAGTCTATCAGACGAGCTAAAAGCCTTAAATGCTCCTTCGAGGCATGCAACACTGAACCATGCATGAGAACACCAGCTGTTCCGGATGACTGTGTGATCTCGCTCTAAGTAGCGAGTAAGGCCTTTAAACAGGTTAACATTCACAAGGCCGCGGGGCCAGACGGAATACCAGGACGCGTACTCTGATCATGCACTGACCAGCTGGCAAGTGTCTTCACTGACATTTTCAACCATCTCTGAAATGGTCTGTAATACCAACTTGTTTCAAACAGACCACCATAGTCCCCATGCCCAAGAACGCCAAGGTAACCTGCCTAAATTACTATCGCCCCGTAGCACTCACATCTATAACCATGAAATGCTTTGAAAGGCTGGTCATGGCTCACATCAACACTATCATCCCAGACACCCTGAACCCACTCCAATTCGCATACCGTCCCAACAGACCCACAGATGACGCCTTCTCTTTTGTGATCCACACTGCCCTCACCCACCTAGACAAAAGGAATACCCATGTAAAAATGCTGTTCATTCACTACAGCTCAGCATTCAACATCATAGTGCACTCCAAGCTCATCACCAAGCTCAGGACCCTGGGACTGAACGCCTCCCTCTGCAACTCAATCCTGCACTTCCTGACAGGCCGCCCCCAGACGGTGAGGGTAGGCAACAACACATCCGACACGCTGACCATTAACACGGGGCCCCTCAGGGGAGTATGCTTTTGTCCCTTCCTGTACTCCCTGTTCACCCACGACTGCGTGGCCCGCACGGCTCCAACACCATCATCAAGTTTGCTGATGACAAGCCGGTGGTACGAATGATCACCAATGTTGATGAGGCAGCCTGTAGGGAGAAAGTCAGTGACCTGGCAGTTTGGTGCCAGGACAACAACCTCTCCCTCAACTACAGCAAGGAGCTGATCGTGGACTACAGGAAATGGAGGGGCGAGTATGCCCCCATCCACATCGATGGGGCTGTATTAGAGCGGGTCGAGAGCTTCAAGTTCCTCTTTGTCCACATCATTAAGGAATTAACATGGTCCATACACATCCCCACAGTTGTGAAAAGGGCACGTTTGTGCCACTTCCCCCTCAGGAGGCTGAAAATATTTGGCATGGCCCCTCAGATCCTCAAAAAAGTCTACAGCTGCACCATTGAGAGCATCTTGACTGGCTGCATCACCGCTTGGTATGGCAACTGCAAGGTACCCGACCGCAAGCCGCTACAGAGAGTAGTGAGTATGGCCCAGTACATCCCTGGGGCTGAGCTCCCTGCCATCCAGGACCGCTATACCAGGCGGTGTCAGAGGAAGGCCCAAAAAATTGTCAAAGACTTCAGCCACCCAAGCCATACACTGTTGTCAAGTTTGGAACCAACAGGACCCTGAACATCTTCTAACCCCAAGCCATAAGACTGCTAAACAAGACTGCTAATTAGCTAATAAAATGGCTACCCGGACTACCTGCTTTTACACTGTTTTGCACTAACTCTCTTGCACTCCATGCACACACACTGGACTCTACTCTCACACATACTTACACTGACATCCCAACACACACATACACACACACACGACGCTGCTACTGTCTGTTATCTATACTGTTGCCTAGTCACTTTACCCCTACCTATATGAACATAGCAACCTCAATTACATCGTACCCCTGCACATCGACTCGGTACTGGTACTCTCTATACAGCCATGTTACTTTTACTTGTTAATGTTATTCATTATTCACTGTGTATTTATTGCTCGTGTCACTATTTCTGTGACAAATAACATTTGATTGGGTGCATCCTGATTTGAGGAAAAAATGTATACAAGAGCTCTTCTCTCACCGTAGGTAAAGTATTTGACCTCCGGGGGTAGGGTCACCAGGGAGAGGTCGGTGGCGTGGATCTTTTCGTTGACGTACTGCTGGGCTCTGGTGGCCTGTACAAAGGCAAAGAACCGGGCTGTGAAAGCGGCAATGAAGATGGAGAGCATGCCGAAGTCCAGAACGTTCCACAGCTGCTGGGTGTACTCCCTGGGCCCCTCTGTCCACAGCTCCTTACACTCCGACCACATCATCCCTGCAGAGGAGGCAACAAAGTTGTGGGTTGTGTTCAATAGGCACCAAACAGATTAAAAGGTTCTGAAACTGAGAGAAACATTTCTGCAGAGGTAACAACAACAAGAGGACATGGGTTGTGTTTCTTAGGTTAAAAACTGAAAAAAAAGGTCTGAAACGAGGAAGGACTATCTGGACGTATCCAATAAGAAATGCAGGCTTTTGTTTTCCCTTGCTATGTCGTGCCCTAATTAACATGACCATTGAATCATCTGGCAATAGTGAGACTGCAGTGTGTTGATTCAGTAACCACCTAATGTCTACCTAATGAAACCACCTTGAGGGCCTGACAATAGGTTAATTTGTTTATTAAATCAACTTAATTAATCTATCTGTGCATTTACTGAATCACTACAGAATAAAACCTCTAAGCCCTAGTACAAACACAGCTCTATCGCCGCACCGAACAAAAAAATATGCCACTTTCTCTTTGGACTGAAGAGTGGGGATAGAGTGCCATTTGAAACTATGCAGTGCACCTCGTCTGACTTTTGGCAATAGTTCGGCAGCAAGGTTATTATAGTAAAAAATAAAAAATAAAAATAAAAAAAATAAAAAAAGACATTGGAAAAACTATTTAGTATACGCTGAAAAGGAAAATCCTAGCGTTTAAGAGCGTTGGGCCAGTAACCAAAAGGTCGCTGGTTTTAATCCCTGAGCTGACTAGGTGAAAAGTCTGTCGAGATGCCCTTGAGCAAGGCACTTAACTCTAATTGCTCCTGTAAGTCGCTCTGGATAAGAGCATCTGCTAAATGTAAATGTAGTGAAACAATTAATAATAAAAAACATCAGAAAAACTAAAACTAGACTGAAACTATTATCTTTGACTGCAAAACTAACTAAAATTAAATAAAAACCATAAAAAATTACGTTTTGTTTCTTCTAAACTATAATGGGGTTTTCGAGCTTCTGAATCTGGCGGGTAAATGCTGCCAGTAGTGCGTGACTGGGCTAAGCTAGCGCAGCTTGAAGTTGCAGGAGCTGTTCGCAATCCACACCGACCAACTTCAAACTGACATGCTGTTTGATGTGGTGCCGTGCCTTCTCAACCTTGAGGCACAATTGCAGTCAACTACTGTTGCAAAACAGTTGACACAGGTCCTCCTGAAGTCACTGTGTGAGTGCTTTGCATGCATACTGAATCCTCTGGCAGCCAACTTCGATCCAATCCCTGCAGCAGCTTGCCTGATGGACCTAAGTGTGTCTCTGGCCCTTCGCTCAACAGTGATGGCCACTGATGAGGGAAGCAGAGTCTTTTGTACTTCAGCAAATCAGAGAGTGTGGAGCAGCAGGACCCCAGCAAGATGCCAGCACGATGAATCCAGCAAGCATCTCAAACACAGTTCTTGAGAAATAAAGATTTCCTCACATCGAAGATTGTGTCTGAGGTCGCTGTCCATACGGGGGTCAACCTGGCAGGGCATTAAGTGCCCCGTATGCGCTGCAGAAATACCTGGAAGAGTCACCTCTCCAGTTCTGGCAGGCAATGATGGCTGTTCATCCAAAGCTGTGCCCTGTGGAACTGGATCTGGTTTCTGCCCCTGCATCCCAAGCATTCAAGACATTATTCAGCATGTCATCTTGAGAAATCGAACGACCACCTCTCTGAAACACAGTCTTCTTGAAGATAAACCAGAAAATCTTGTTTGGTTGTATTGCTTATGTTTTTGCTATTGTTGCAACTGTTTTTATTAACCATATTTGAAGAGGTTAGTCAATGACACATGTTTAATATTACATAAACACAACATGTCTAATGTGCCATGAGTTCATTAGTTTTTTTTTTCTCCCTCCTTTCTGTCAGATAAAGGTAAAGGTATTTGATTCGTCCTACATACACTACCGTTCAAAAGTTTGGGGTCGCTTAGAAATGTCCTTGTTTTCCAAAGAAAGACAATTTTTTTGTCCATTAAAATAACATCAAATTGATCAGAAATACAGTTGTGTATGCTAATCCATGTTTATCATTTTAAAAGGCTAATTGATCATTAGAAACCCCTTTTGCAATTATGTTATCACAGCTGAAAACTGTTGTGCTGATTAAAGAAGCAATAAAACTGGCCTTCTTGAGACTAGTTGAGTATCTGGAGCATCAGCAATTGTGGGTTCGATTACAGGCTCAAAATGGCCAGAAACAAATAACTTTCTTCTGAAACTCGTCAGTCTATTCTTGTTCTGAGAAATGAAGGCTATTCCATGCGAGAAATTGCCAAAAAACTGAAGATCTTGTACAACGCTGTGTACTACTCCGTTCACGGCGCAAACTGTCTCTAACCAGAATAGAAAGAGGAGTGGGAGGCCCCGGTGCACAACTGAGCAAGAGGACAAATACATTAGAGTGTCTAGTTTGAGAAACAGGCGCCTCACAGGTCGTCAACTGGCAGCTTCATTAAATAGTATCCGCAAAACACCAGTCTCAACGTTAACAGTGAAGAGGCGGCTCCGGGATGCTGACCTTCTAGGCAGTTGCAAAGAAAAAGCCATATCTCAGACTGCCCATCTTAATCTTTTGTTTTTATTGGCCAGTCTGAGATATGGCTTTTTCTTTGCAACTCTGCCTAGAAGGTCAGCATCCCGAAGTCGCCTATTCACTGATGACGTTGAGACTGGTGTTTTGCGGGTACTATTTAATGAATCTGCCAATTGAGGACCTGTGAGGCCCCAAACTTTTGAATGGTAGTGTATACTACCAAAGAGAGTTTCCTTCCACCATATTTCGTGCACCAGTGTAGGCGCTTATCCTTTAAATCCAAGTCACATTAGAATTGATTTATAATTTAAACCTAACTAAACCTATGTCCTGGCCATGGAGTTGTATGGAGTCCTCTACTGGCTAAAAGCCTGTGTTAGCATGGGCTGCGCAATTTAGAACTTTCACCATTTTGATTTAGCCAACTGGGCGGGACTTCCATCTTCATTGGCTGATCCCTCCTGATGACCTGGTTGGCATGACCTGATGACCCGGTTGGATTCGTAACAGCCGGGTCATCAGATGGGATCAGCCAACAAATTTTACTTATGAAGAAGAACATTTTATTTTTCAAGACGGAGATGGCCTCAATGGCGCTGCACATGCTCTCACTGATGCCATCATGATACAGATAGAGATGTTACATCTGTCCAAGTCTATCGTCCTCTCCCATCCCCTTATGTATTACTGCCCTCAAGTGGCAAGAAGACACCCCCCAAAAAAATAACTATAGGCCTACAACACATAAATGGCTCCTAGCCTCCCACAAAATGGCTACTTTTTTTCCCTAACACTAAAACTTAAACTTTAGCTAAATTATATAAAAACTAAATATATATTTTTTTATCAAACTGAAACTAAATAAAAATGAGTAAATCAAGTCTGAAAACTAACTGAAACTAAACTGAATTTCAAAAAAAAAAAAAAGACAAATAAAAACAAATATTAATTCACAAAACTATAATAACCTTGCTCTGCCGCTCTTTCGGCGCAGTGCGGGTCAAGCGTGCCCCTGTTTCATGCAGCGCGTCAGAGCAGTTCTTCTACTGTCAGGAGTAATGGTAATGCATATTAATAATGTTAATTGCGTGCAAATAAAAATTGCTTCACTACCACACCTACAACGGAAGAACAATCATGGCCTCGGATTCGCAGTTGGAAGACTTTTGTTAGTTCGGTGCGATGATAGCGCTGCGTTTGAACTATTAACATAGCACCTTTCATTATAAGAGCTTTATAGAGATATCTGAAACACAGTTCCTAATAAGGCTACACTGTATTCATCACAGCAAAGGCTATCCAATAATTTCAGATATTACAGAAAGGCTACTTATCAAGCTTCCTTGTGATAGTAAAAGGGAGTTAAGCAATCTGAAGACACGTTATGTTAACCGAGACACATTAAACCAATCATATTCACTGTTTCAAACATACCTTTTACTGCAATAAACTTTGTGGTTTCTTTTACACAAGAGGGCGTTGTTATGCCTGAATTCGGCCCAAAAACAACTAGGAAGTCTGCAGTGTTGAGAGTGGGGTTGTATGAAACCAATCGGTGTATCAAGCAAAGCTCTCAATCATGCCAGCCCGCTATTAATTTCTATTCAGTTTGACGCACCATAAATTCGACGTCTGAACTGTGCGTTACATAGCCATTCAAAATTCAGAAGATGGAACATAGGCATAGTCACTGCATCGATTTGTTCACTCAATCCGTCATAGGGGGAGAGAAAAAGGAAGAAATGTTCCCTCCTCAGAGACAATTGATCTTGCATTTAGATGCTTGGTCACAGAGTTTCTAAACCCAGAGGTGCAACATCGTGAGACTTCCGGGAATGCTTGCGAAACAGACCAAGCAGACCAGGCCGGAGTTTGAGAAGTCAATGAGAGAAGTGAAAGATTCTTCCTTAGTTGTTAATTTTCGCAAAATCTAAAGGCACAACCGAGCCAATGTCTTAAGTAGTTGAAAGTGACAAACTGACCCGCTTTCATTTTTGTGAAAAACAACTTTATATCGAAGGAATGCCTTTGATTTGACGCCCTGCACATGTGCAGTTCGGCACAAGATGACCGTTAGACTTGATGACGTGCTTCTGCACATGAGCTTAGCTAGCCAACATCCCCATGATACCGCCTACAAGTGAGATCAGGGATTTCTATTGGAAAAGCAGTTTCTGCCCATCTTCATACCGTCCTGTGGTTTGGTAAATGAAGGTCAGAGGACCTCTTGGGTCATGTCAAAAGGCCGGTAGTGACTCATTATAATAACTTCCTATCCGACCAAACGAGATGCATCTTTAATGGCGGAGCGACCTCGCAACATCGGTCATGTCTAGATAGAATACAGCTTATGTCAAATTGACATCAAAAGTTTAAATGTTTCGCATTTTAGCTAACCCTAACCTTAACCCTTTTCCTAACCTTAACCTAATTCTCCTAACCTGCTACGTTAATTTTCCTAACCTGCTATGTAAGTTTGCCTAACTTGCTACGAAAAGTAGATTTAGGGATAAACTGTATCCAATCTAGTCAAAACCTGCAGTACCTGTCAATGGTGTCACCCTCGACCGGGTCCGATGAGGGCCGTGTTCATTTGGGCACGCAACGGAAACCGATTTAAAACATTTTGCAACAGAAAACTAAAATTGGTGTTTCTTATTGGACAAGTCCAGGTAGTTCCTGCCTGTTTCAGTCCGTTTTCTTCCATTTGATGCCAAATGAACACAATCCTGGAATCTTCCCCATGCTGAGAACAGAATGGAGACTGTTGGGTAGAGGAGAGGAAGGAGAAGGTCCATTTGCGGATGTGTCACCATAATTGGTATTTCAATCTTCCGGGAGCCGCAGGGGGACTGAAGACTGCTCCTCGCCAAAATCTCAACTGATTTCGCTCTCCCCAGAGAGTTCCCCGATCCTCTCGCTCGCAAGTATGCATTGTCACCTGCTCGTTCCAATTTAGATCAGTCTGGCTGTTAAGCATTAAGTACAACTGACCAGTGAAGCTATGGAAAGTGAATTGAAATTGTTCACTTTTCATTGAAAAGACCTCATTACTGTCAGTGTTTATATCAGTGTTTTAAAGGCAGAGATAGTCTCCTGACGATTGTGCCATACAGCTGCTGTGTTTTAAATGCTATATTTAATTTAATTTTAATCTAACCAGGATAGTCCACTCAGTAACAATTGCCACCACTTTCAGGTGATTGTGGAGGCCAGGTAATCTAATGCAGCACTCCATCACTCCCCTTCTTGGTCAAATAGCCCTTACACAGCCTGGAGGTGTGTTGGGTCATTGTCCTGTTGAAAAACAAATGATAGTCCCACTAAGCGCAAACCAGATGGGATGGCGTATCGCTACATAATGCTGTGGTAGCCATGCTGGTTAAATGTGCCTTGAATTCTAAATAAATCACAGACAGTGTCACCAGCAAAGCACCCCCACACCACCACACCTCCTCCTTCATGCTTCACAGTGGGAACCACACATGCAGAGATCATCCGTTCACCTACTTTGCGTCTCACAAAGACATGGCGGTTGGAACCAGAAATCTCCAATTTGGACTCATCAGACCAAAGGACAGATTTCCACCGGTCTAATGTCCATTGCTCGTGTTTCTTGGTCCAAGCAATCTCTTATTCTCTTATTAGTGTCATTTAGTAGTGGTTTCTTTGCAGCAATTCGACCATGAAGGCCTGATTCACGCAGTCTCCTCTGAACAGTTGATGTTGAGATGTGTCTGTGAAGCATTTATTTGGGCTGCAATCTGAGGTACAGTTAACTCTAATGAACTTATCCTCTGCAGCAGAGGTAACTCTGGGTCTTCCTTTCCTGTGGCAGTCCTCATGAGAGCCAGTTTCATCATAGTGTTTGATGTGACTGCACTTTAAGAAACTTTCAAAGTTCTTGAAACTTTCTGGATTGACTGACCTTCATGTCTTAAATTAATGATGGACTGCCGTTTCTCTTTGCTTATTTGAGCTGTTATTGCCATAATATGGACAACTGATTGGCTCAAAAGCATTAAGAAGGAAAGAAATTCCACAAATTAACTTTTAACAAGGCACACCTGTTAATTGAAATGCATTCCAGGTGACTACCTCATGAAGCTTATTATATCTCCTAAATATAGGATAGACATTTCAAAACCTTATTCCTTATGATTTACTTTTTGACTGTCTGTTTTGTAATTTATGAATGTGTTATTTAATGCAATTTTATGGCCTATTGCAGTAAAGGCCAAATTCAATATGAAGCTTTATGGAATATTTTTGCACCCTGAAACATGACTCTGATATATCTCCTTGCCTTTGACCACACCTTTTCAAGCCCCTCTGGTGCCGTCAACCCTTCACAGTACCACAAAATGTTATCTCACCTGTGACCCAGACCATGATGAGGATCTCGGTCCAGCTGAATTCAGTGGTCTTGACCCGGTAGATCTGCATGGGATGGTCAGTGACGGTCACGTTTGGCATGGTGGTGATGCCCTCGAAGCGGTCTGATGCGTTGAACAACAGCAGGCACAGGAAGAGGATGAAGGAGGCGGCATGGGCCACAAACTTCATGAAGGGGCTGCGCAGGGCATTGCCCAGCTACAGAAAATAAGAAGGATCACATTTACACTTCAGTCATTTTGCTTTTATCCAGAGTGACTTACAATCAGTGCATTCAACTTACAGTTTAGGTCGGAAGTTTACATACACTTAGGTTGGAGTCATTAAAACTCGTTTTTCAACCACTCCACAAATTTCTTGTTAACAAACTATAGTTTTGGCAAGTTGGTTAGGACATCTACTTTGTGCATGACGCAAGTAATTTTTCCAACAATTGTTTACAGACAGATTATTTCACTTATAATTCACTGTATCACAATTCCAGTGGGTCAGAAGTTTACATACACTAAGTTGACTGTGCCTTTAAACAGCTTGGAAAATTCCAGAAAATGATGTCATGGCTTTAGAAGATTCTGATAGGCTAATTGACATCATTTGAGTCAATTGGAGGTGTTCCTGTGGATGTATTTCAAGGCCTACCTTCAAACTCAGTGCCTCTTTGCTTGACATCATGGGAAAATCAAAATAAATCAGCCAAGACCTCAGAAAAAAACTTCACAAAATAGATGGCATCATGAGGAAGGAAAAATATGTGGATATATTGAAGCAACATCTCAAGACATCATTTACATTACATTTACATCATTTAGCAGACGCTCTTATCCAGAGCGACTTACAAATTGGTGCATTTAACTTATTTACATTTACATTTACGTCATTTAGCAGACGCTCTTATCCAGAGCGACTTACAAATTGGTGCATTCACCCTATAGCCAGTGGGATAACCACTTTACAATATGTTTTTAATTTTTTTTGTGGGGGGGGGGGGGGGGGGGGGGGTAGAAGGATTACTTTATCCTATCCCAGGTATTCCTTAAAGAGGTGGGGTTTCAAATGTCTCCGGAAGGTGGTGAGTGACTCCGCTGTCCTGGCGTCGTGAGGGAGCTTGTTCCACCATTGGGGTGCCAGAGCAGCGAACAGTTTTGACTGGGCTGAGCGGGAACTATGCTTCCGCAGAGGAAGGGGAGCCAGCAGGCCAGAGGTGGATGAACGCAATGCCCTCGTTTGGGTGTAGGGACTGATCAGAGCCTGAAGGTACAGAGGTGCCGATCCCCTCACAGCTCCATAGGCAAGCACCATGGTCTTGTAACAGATGCGAGCTTCAACTGGAAGCCAGTGGAGTGTGCGGAGGAGCGGGGTGACGTGAGAGAACTTGGGAAGGTTGAACACCAGACGGGCTGCGGCATTCTGGATGAGTTGTAGGGGTTTAATGGCACAGGCAGGGAGCCCAGCCAACAGCGAGTTGCAGTAATCCAGACGGGAGATGACAAGTGCCTGGATTAGGACCTGTGCCGCTTCCTGTGTAAGGCATGGTCGTACTCTCCGAATGTTGTACAGCATGAACCTGCAGGATCGGGTCACAGCCTTGATGTTAGCGGAGAACGACAGGGTGTTGTCCAGGGTCACGCCAAGGCTCTTCGCACTCTGGGAGGAGGACACAACGGAGTTGTCAACCGTGATGGCGAGATCATGGAACGGGCAGTCCTTCCCCGGGAGGAAGAGCAGCTCCGTCTTGCCAGGGTTCAGCTTGAGGTGGTGATCCGTCATCCATACTGATATGTCTGCCAGACATGCAGAGATGCGATTCGCCACCTGGTTATCAGAAGGGGGAAAGGAGAAGATTAGTTGTGTATCGTCAGCGTAGCAATGATAGGAGAGGCCATGTGAGGATATGACAGAGCCAAGTGACTTGGTGTATAGGGAGAATAGGAGAGGGCCTAGAACTGAGCCCTGGGGGACACCAGTGGTGAGAGCACGTGGTGCGGAGACAGCTTCTCACCACGCCACTTGGTAGGAGCGACCGGTCAGGTAGGACGCAATCCAGGAGTGAGCCGCGCCGGAGATGCCCAGCTCGGAGAGGGTGGAGAGGAGGATCTGATGGTTCACAGTATCAAAGGCAGCAGACAGGTCTAGAAGGACAAGAGCAGAGGAGAGAGAGTTAGCTTTAGCAGTGCGGAGAGCCTCCGTGACACAGAGAAGAGCAGTCTCAGTTGAATGACCAGTCCTGAAACCTGACTGGTTTGGATCAAGAAGGTCATTCTGAGAGAGATAGCAAGAGAGTTGGCTAAAGACGGCACGCTCAATAGTTTTGGAAAGAAAAGAAAGAAGGGATACTGGTCTGTAGTTGTTGACATCAGTGGGATCGAGTGTTGGTTTTTTGAGAAGGGGTGCAACTCTCGCTCTCTTGAAGACGGAAGGGACATAGCCAGCGGTCAAGGATGAGTTGATCAGCGAGGTGAGGTAGGGGAGAAGGTCACCGGAGATGGTCTGGAGAAGAGAGGAGGGGATGGGGTCAAGCGGGCAGGTTGTTGGGCGGCCTGCAGTCACAAGTCGCAGGATTTTATCTGGAGAGAGAGGGGAGAAAGAAGTCAAAGCATAGGGTAGGGCAGTGTGAGCAGGACCAGCAGTGTCATTAGACTTAACAAACGAGGATCGGATGTCGTCAACCTTCTTTTCAAAGTGGTTGACGAAGTCATCCACAGAGAGAGAGGAGGGGGGGGGGGGGGGGGGGGATTCAGCAGGGAGGAGAATGTGGCAAAGAGCTTCCTAGGGTTAGAGGCAGATGACCCCAAGCATTCTTCCAAAGTTGTGCCAAAATGGCTTAAGGACAACAAAGTCAAGGTATTGGAGTGGCCATCACAAAGCCCTGACCTCAATCCTATAGAAAATGTGTGGGCAGAACTGAAAAAGCTTGTGCGAGCAAGGAGGCCTACAAACCTGACTCAGTTACACCAGCTCTGTCAGGAGGAATGGGCCAAAATTCACCCAACTTATTGTGGGAAGCTTGTGGAAGGCTAGACGAAACGTTTGACCAAAGTTAAACAATTTAAAGGCAATGCTACCAAATACTAATTGAGTGTATGTAAACTTCTGACCCACTGGGAATGTGATGAAATAAATAAAAGCTGAAATAAATCATTCTCTCTACAATTATTCTGCCATTTCACATTCTTAAAATAAAGTGGTGATCCTAACTGACCTAAAACAGGGAATTTTTACCACGATTAAATGTCAGGAATTGTGAAAAACTGTCACGCCCTGACTTCCGGACTCTTGTATGTTGAGTCAGGGTGTAGATATCTATGTTAGTATTTCTATGTTTGCATTCTATGTTGTATGTTTCTATGTTTGGCCGGGTGTGATTCCCAATCAGAGGCAGCTGTCACTCGTTGTCTCTGATTGGGGATCATACTTAAGTAGCCTGTTGGCACTCATTAGTTGTGGGATCTTGTTCAGTGTAGAGGCTTGTATTGTGTTTAGCCTGAGGACATCACGTTACGTTGTTTTTTGTTCGTGTGTATATCTTTTGAATAAACATGTATGCATTTCACGCTGCGCCTTGGTCTGACCCATCCTTCAACGAGCGTTACAGAAGATCCCACCAAAAATGGACCAAGCAGCGTGCCCAGGAGCAGACATCGTGGACATGGGAGGAGATCCTGGACATGGGAGGAGATTCAGGCTGGGATGGATCGCCGTCCTTGGGAGGAGACAGTGGAGGCCCGGTTTAGAGAGGAGCAACGGCAACGCAGAAGGCGCCGGCCGAGGAGGAAGCCCGAGAGACAGCCCCAAGAACATTTCTGGGGGGGGGGGGGGGTGCTAAAAGGGTGATCGGGATCGATGGAGAAGAGCCCCGACCACTGCACTCGTGGGGGCTCAGGGAGGAGTCCTCACGGGAGGAGGACTGGGTGTGGAGAGTGAAAGACTGGCACAGTCGGAGATGTCTAACGTCAGTTCCCAGTCCGGTACACCTTGTGCCTGCGTCTCGCACCAAGCTAGTGGTGCGTGTGCCCAGTCCGGCCCGGCCCGTTCCTGTTCCTCGCACCAAGCCAGTGGTGCGTGTTCCCAGTCCGGTACGGCCCGTACCTGCTCCCCGCACCAAGCCAGTGGTGCGTGTCGCCAGTCCGGCCCGGCACGTTCCTGTTCCTCGCACCAAGCCAGTGGTGCGTGTTCCCAGTCCGGTACGGCCCGTACCTGCTCCCCGCACCAAGCCAGTGGTGCGTGTCGCCAGTCCGGCCCGGCCCGTTCCTGTTCCTCGCACCAAGCCAGTGGTGCGTGTTCCCAGTCCGGTACGGCCCATGCCTGCTCCCCGCACCAAGCCTGTGGTGCATGTCACTAGCCCGGCCCGGCCCGTTCCTGCTCCTCGCACCAGACCTGTGGTGCGTGTCTCCAGTCCGGCCCGGCCCGTTCCTGCTCCCCGCACCAAGCCAGTGGTGCGTGTTCCCAGTTCGGCCCGGCTCGTTCCTGCTCCCCGCACCAAGCCAGTGGTGCGTGTTCCCAGTCCGGCCCGGCCCGTGCCTGCTCCTCGCACCAAGCCAGTGGTGCGTGTTCCCAGTCCGGTACGGCCCGTACCTGCTCCCCGCACCAAGCCAGTGGTGCGTGTCGCCAGTCCGGCCCGGCCCGTTCCTGTTCCTCGCACCAAGCCAGTGGTGCGTGTTCCCAGTCCGGTACGGCCCATGCCTGCTCCCCGCACCAAGCCTGTGGTGCATGTCACTAGCCCGGCCCGGCCCGTTCCTGCTCCTCGCACCAGACCTGTGGTGCGTGTCTCCAGTCCGGCCCGGCCCGTTCCTGCTCCCCGCACCAAGCCAGTGGTGCGTGTTCCCAGTTCGGCCCGGCTCGTTCCTGCTCCCCGCACCAAGCCAGTGGTGCGTGTTCCCAGTCCGGCCCGGCCCGTGCCTGCTCCTCGCACCAGACCAGTGGTGCGTGTGTCCAGTCCGGCACGGCCCGTGCCCGTTCCACCGGTGCCTGGTCGGGCACCGGTCAGCTGCTCCACTCCGGAGCCAGAGCAGTCCGCTCCACCGGTGGCTGATCCAGCTCCGGTCAGCAGCTCCACTCCGGAGCCAGAGAAGTCCGCTCCACCGGTGCATAGTCCAGCTCCGGTCAGCAGCTTCACTCCGGAGCCAGAGCAGTCGGCTCCACCGGTGCCTAGTCCAGCTCCGGTCAGCGGCTCCAGTCCAGACCCAGACGTCAGCCCTTCTCCAGGTTCGGGGTCTCCCACACCAGGGTCCAGACAGGGCTTGGTGTATCGTGGGAGGAAGGAGAGGGGAAGCAGCGCGCCGAGGTCCAGACCAGACCAGGGGCGCAACGGGGAGGCTGAGAGAATGTGGTCGTCACGCCCGGAGCCGGATCCGCCTCCGAGGCGGAATGCCCACCCGGACCCTACCCTGTTATGTAAGGTTTGTGAGGTCGGAGTCCGCACCTTTGGGGGGGGGGGGGGGGGGGGGGGGGGGGGGGGGGGTACTGTCACACCCTGACTTATGGGACTCTTGTATGTTGAGTCAGGGTGTAGATATCTATGTTAGTATTTCTATGTTTGCATTCTATGTTGTGTGTTTCTATGTTTGGCCGGGTGTGATTCCCAATCAGAGGCAGCTGTCACTCGTTGTCTCTGATTGGGGATCATACTTAAGTAGCCTGTTGGCACTCATTAGTTGTGGGATCTTGTTCCGTGTAGAGGCTTGTATTGTGTTTAGCCTGAGGACTTCACGTTACGTTGTTTTTTGTTCGTGTGTTTATCTTTTGAATAAACATGTATGCATTTCACGCTGCGCCTTGGTCTGACCCGTCCTTCAACGAGCGTGACAAAAACGGAGTTTAAATGTATTTGGTGTATGTAAACTTCCGACTTCAACTGTATGTAGGTAAAACAACCACATATCAATCATTGCAAGTAAAGCCTTCAGTGGGATCAGTGGGATGCAAAGCGAGAATTCAGTCGATAAGAAGTCTATAGAGTAACTATGCTACAACCACTTAACCTGATTGAAATTAGTTTATAGTGAAGTCTGGAGTAATTTCAAAACAAACACAAATCAATTCAGTTGAGGTGGTTGTAGTATTTGATTTAGACTTTCTTCAGAAAATCTAACAAACTTTGTTGGTGTCGTTAATGATGTATACAACTGTTCCAAGCCTTGAAATGTTTTTTTCATACATCTGTGTTATACAATTACGTGCTAAAGCATACTAGAAAAGGTACTCCTAGTCTGTTGAATTCACTTTTCTATTCCTACCAATTGGCCATCAAAGCACCTGAACGACCCCGTCTCCTGAAAAACAAATCAAAGTGCTCTCAAGGTGCCACCCCTGAATCCAAATGATGCCAGCCGTTGTAATGATGCCAACAACCCAGATTGGCATTGTACCCACACACCTAACCCATTAAAATGCTGTGCTGTGGCTCTGCTCCTCTCCAGTCCTAAAATCCATTATGATTAAAACACACATTCTTAGTCTTGGCTTTATCAGAGGGTAAACAACGTCCCTAAATATATAAAATGTAACACTAACATTCATTGGAGCGTAGCAAGAGACTCGTTATACTACTGGCATGTACCCATAAACCACCTGGGCAGAGCAGGGTTAGTGAATATAATCAAATAAACACACTACACTCTCACACTCCTAGACTTACTTACTTAAATCACAGGTGGCTGTAAATATCTTTGTTTTACTTTTAAGAGGAACAGTTCGGGTAATGGACATGAGGCCCTATACATTACTATTCTATATGTAATTATATGAGCTAGACACGATACTCTTCATATGCTCTGGTTTGAGTTGAGATAATTGAAGGGATCACAATTGGTGAATTTTGTCCCAACACAGCCTCTGTATTTCAAATTGAAATCTACAGCCTGGACATACTCCAGTTGATCTACCTGTGAGGTTCTGAGTGGCAGGAATGATGGAGGTGGGTGGCCTTGCATGCCAGACTTCTATCTATACTCTCTTGGCGTATATTACTTTTCATATCGCAAAACAATTATCAATCAAATTCAATCAATCTAATTGATTTTATAAAGCCCTTTTTACATCAGCAGTTGTCACAAAGTGCTATACAGATACCCAGCCTAAAACCCCAATGAGCAAGCAATGTAGAAGCACAGTGGCTAGAAAATACTACCTAGAATGCCAGGAACCTAGGAAGAAACCTGGAGTGGAACCAGGCTCCGAGGGTTGGCCAGTCCTCTTCAGACTGTGATGGGTGGAGATTATAAGAGTACATGGCCATTAAGGCCAGATCGTTCTTCAAGACGTTCAAATGTTCATAGATGACCAACAGGGTGAAATAATAACCACATTGGTTAAAGAGGGTGCAACAGTTCAACATCTTAGGAGTAAATGTCAGTTGGTGGCTTTTCATAGCCGAGCATTCAGAGGTCGAGACAGCAGGTCAGAGAGAGAGAGAGAGCGAGAGAGAGAGTCGAAACAGCAGGTCAGGGACAATCATCTATATTGGTTTGAACTTTGAAGAGTTGCAAATAACTATGTTCTAATAACTAGGTTGCCTAGTCAGCCCAAGTTTGAATATAAACCAAATTTGATCCCATTCACATTTTCTCACAACCAAATGGGCTATAAATAACCAACGTTACCGCTTCGTTTACCCTGGCCAGAGGGACAAGGCGCATAGTAGGCTGGACTATGCAGCTTCTGTTGTTAGTAGCCTACAGTTGATCACACTCAAAAATAGTATTGTTTCCATGCAATACAGCATGTCAGATCGCTAATGTTTAGGTGTAGGCTGCTACAACATTTATTTATAGAGTTGTTGCTTGTGTCTGTTGGGAGTGATGTGACACTTGCTAAATAATTACCGGAGGAAAGTGGAGAGCGTGCCTTGAGCTTTGTGCCCGGCCCGCGCAACCTGCAATTTCCGTGAATCTGACTGGTCAAGACATGCAAAGAGCCTGCAGCAGCACTCCAATGTGAAGGACAGAGAAATTGTGCGTGAGCTGACAAATCATGAGGCAAAAAAACACCAAAAAACAGTACTTTGCCCCTATTTAATGCTTTGCATCGATATATTTTATTAAACTAAATCAAAAATGGTGTGGCACTGCCACACTGATTGAAAAGTGCTGTTGCAAATGCCACCTTGCCACACGTTTTCCGGCAGTCCTGGTTAACCGGTCTGTGTGCATGTGTGAGTGTGCACGTTCGTACGAGCGTTTGTGCACTTTTGTGAACAACATACTCCATCAACATTGCTCTGACTACTACATCTAAATTCTTACCAAAGTGTTTCAGGTTGGTAAATGACACTCAGCGGGTATGTCAGTGGACGTGGTACTCTTACCCGACTGCAGGGGGCGAACCAGTAGCCCACAACCAATAGGGGCAGACCCACGGCCACCGCCACCACCACCAGGCACTTCACAGCGATGGTCTGTTCCCTCAGGCCCGACAGGTTCTCATACCAGATCGTCAGCAGCTGCTGCTGGCAGTTGGGGTGGGCCACAAACTGTCGGGGAGGAGAGAGAGAACAGGAAAAGTTAATGCGATGGGGAAGCAGTCTGGGGAAGAAAAGAGGCTGAGTGGCAGGCCTGGTTCATCCTCTAGGCTGCCACACAGTTCAGTCTGGAAAATGAGGATGAAGACCCAGTTCCGAATCTATTCTGTAGGCACCAGGCGGAAACCAGGAAAAGGGACTGCTGGAGTGTAGGCACCAATCATTGGTTGGTCATTTGCATTTTAAGTGGGCCTATAGTGTGTGTATGTGTGTGTGTGTGTGTGTGTGTGTGTGTGTGTGTGTGTGTGTGTGTGTGTGTGTGTGTGTGTGTGTGTGTGTGTGTGTGTGTGTGTGTGTGTGTGTGTGGTGCGTGAGAGAGAGAGAGAGAGAGAGAGAGAGAGAGAGAGAGAGAGAGAGAGAGAGAGAGAGAGAGAGAGAGAGCGTCTCATATAATCACATTAACTGGCTTTTTCAAATCTGGGAGAAATGCATTAGGCTTTCGCCAGTGGCGGCTGGTGTGGGGAGACCTGGGGAGGTGGTGTTCCCTGTAATGGAAGTGTTTAATCAAAACCCACGAGCCATTAATGAAGTGGACAGTTCTCTCTGTGGGTTTCATTGACACTGCATGCCAGATTCTTTGGAAAGGCAGAAATGTGTGACATTCGTAAATTATTGGGATGAGTGGACTGTGAGGGATGTACTAAAAGCCTGGGACAAGTTGAGAGGTGAAAATGAACCTTGCAGTTACAGGATAAGGACATTTTAAAACACTTAATGTGAGAAAATCTGGCCAAAAATCTATAGGTAGAAACTCAAAATGTCTGTAAGGTGTAGGTGTTCAAAATATTTAATGGTGGTTTTGGTCATCCTGAAAGTTTTTCAAAAGCTTTTAAAAGATAATTATCCTGATGGAATGGTATTTGATTACATTTTCTAATGTGCCAACTAAGGATTCAACTTGCTATGCAACTCTGTTCTCTGTGAATTATACATTTAATTTATTTGATGTGTTATTTAACCTTGCGATTCCCATTTTACAAGCTAACTGTAATGGCATGGTTTTTGTTTCAGTTAGTCTGAAGTGCCAACTAAGGATTTTGTTTTATTTCATGTATCTATATGATTAATTGAAAGGGGCAATCTGTGATTGCTACATCCATTTTTGGACTTTTAGATGAATAATATATATCCATTGATTCTTGAAGAATATAACGTTATAAATGCATCATGAGCTTAGTTCAACTGTCTTACCCCATCAGAACCCAAAATATAAGCTTTTTTACTCCATTGTTTGAAAACACTGTAATGGTAAACAAACACTGTATAGCCTCAAACCATGGTTAAAACTATCATTTTGATCTTGCATCCATGGCTGTCTATGAATTTGAGAATGGTTATATTTCTCCAACCCTATCTCTCAGATGTTTTCCAAAACAAGTGGCGGGGTTACGGCATTTATTGTTTGAACTCCAGATTGCCTCTTTAACCTTGTGAGTCCCATTTAAATGCAAATCTCAAGGGCGCCCTGGCCAACAGGCAGCAACATAATAATACATACAAATAAACTATAATGACAATATAACAACAACCATAAAACAGCAAGGCACAGTGATTACACCAAACACTCAGCATTATTAATCATAGCAGGTGCACACTTCAGATATGATGATACAATAGTATATATCAAACTTAAAATCACAGAGACTAATGACGCTGCCTTGAGTTGACCATTTATATTCAACTATCTGAACTATTTGGAAACGTTTGACTTTTAAAACGACAGAATACATACATTTTTGGCCCAGGACTGCACCCTACTGTCCACTTTAACACATGGAGCAAATGGTCATTTGGCACATATTTGCCAATAAAATAGGCTGAATACACATACATAAGAGTATAAAGCCTTTAAAGGTGGCAATTTGTAATTGAGTTAGTTTTTTATAACATGCTCCAGCTTCATGGTCCATGATATAGCCAACTAATTAGTTAATTGACTAGTTTAGAATGTTATTAGGGGTTCTTCCACTCCCATTTGTTTAAATAAAGCAATATTTTTGGGTCACTGACTCTCAGGATCCAGTTCTCTTGTTAGTTATCCAAGAAAATGAGGTTAATTTGTTATTTGGGTGAACTACCCCTTTAATTTATTATTTATATTGGCAATGAGTAATAATACCGTTAGTGGCTTTAGTAAAGAACTGCCTATTCAGGCTACTACATTTGATTCTCCTTTTCAGCATAGAATGTACTGCTCTACACTGTAAATATTCAATGTAAACTCTCTTACCCTATTGTAGAGTTAATATAACTAACTAAGGTGCTGATTGGATTTACATCAATAATGTAGTAATGGAATGGAGGTTGAGGGTCGTATTTATTAGGCACAAAACGGAAGAATATCGACTGAAACAGGGAGGGTCTGGAGCAATTCCGCAGATGATCTACTAGGCATCAAGCCATAACAGTAACCCCCCAGACTCTCAGTAACCCCGCTACCAGCGGTGCTACGCTGGAGATCCAGGAACCTTCCGGGCGCTTCTCTCCCAGTGATCCCTCATCTTCGAGCTGCAGCCCTATTCGTTTCCCTCGGATCGCTCGAAGATAGCGTACCTGATAACGCTGATGTCCGGGAGGGCACTCGCCTGGGTGGCGGTGTGGGAGCAACAACCCACCGTTTGCCTCAGTCTGGAGGAGTTTGTGGCGGAGGTTAGAAAGGTGTTCGATTCTCCGTTGTCCGGGAGAGAGGCTGCTCGGAAGCTACTTCAACTGCGTCAAGTCTCCCGTAGTGTGGTAGACTACGCAGTATATTTTTGCACTTTGGCCGTCGAGAGTGCCTGGAACCCGGAATCTCTGTTCGACACGTTCCTTTATGGATTATCGGAGGTAGTTAAAGATGAGCTCGCAGCCCGGGAGCTTCCCATGGACCTCGACTCTCATAGCCTTGACCATACGGATTGATGGGCGGCTACGGGAACGTAGGAGGGAGAGGAGGTCTGTTCCCACTCACACTCGCTCGTCCATGGCTCCCACCTCGCCTCCAAGGAATCCCGGAAGTCCCCGGCGTCTACAACACCGGGAGAATCCGATGTCACCCGAGTTCCTTAGGGAATCACCGATGGCTGTCGACTCGCCTCCTCCAGAGTATCAACTACCGGGGCCTTAATGACATCACCGTTAAAAACTGCTACCTTCTACCACTCATCTCCTCGGCTTTCGAGCATCTCCAGGGGGGGACGATCTTCTCGAAGATGGACATTCGGAACACCTACCATCTGGTTTGGATACGGGAAGGAGACGAATGGAAGATAGCCTTTAACACGGCTAGCGGGCACTACGAGAACCTTGTTATGCCATTTGGACTGACCAACAATCCCGCAGTGTTCCAGGCCCCGGTCAACGATGTGCTCCGTGACATGTTGAACCGGTTCGTGTTTGTCTACCTCGACGACATCCTTGTTTTTTCCCGTTCAGCTCAAGAGCACGTCCTCCACGTCTGACAGGCCCTTCAGTGTCTCCTGGAGAACCAGCTTTTTGTTAAAGCATAGAAATGTGAGTTCCATCGCTCCACCATTTCCTGCCTAGGATACGTCATTGCTGCAGGAAATATTCAGATGGACCCTGACAAGGTGAGAGCGGTGGTGGATTGGCCTCAACCCACATCCAGAGTGCAGCTGCAACGTTTCCTGGGGTTTGCTCATTTCTACCGCTACTTCATCCGGGGTTACAGCACCCTGGTTACAGCACCCTTGCTTCCCCCCTCTCAGCACTCACCTCTCCCAAGGTTCCGGTCACGTGGTCTCCAGCAGCTGACCGGGCGTTCCTGGACCTCAAGCATCGATTCACTACAGCTCTCATCTTAAACCATCTGGACCCGTCCCGTCAGTTCGTGGTGGAGGTCGACGCCTCGAACGTCGGAGTGGGGGCCGTCCTGTCCCAGCGTTCTGCCCAGGACCAAAAGCTGCATCCCTGTGCTTTCCTTTCCCATCATCTTAAACCCGTTGAGAGGAACTATGACGTGGGACACTGAAGAAGATGAAAGAGACACAGTAAAATTCCACTACAGTAGTCCTATGACGTGGGAAATCGAGAACTACTCGCGGTCAAGATGGCATTGGAGGAGTGGAGGCACTGGTTAGAGGGGGCGGAACATGTATGTTTGTCCCGGACTCTGCCCGTTCCCCGGTCCTGGAATGGGCACATTCCTCTAGACTGACCTGCCACCCTGGCTCCCGTCGGACCCTGGCTTTCATCCAACAACGTTTTTGGTGGCCCACCATGGTTCCTGACGTCTCCGCGTTCATTGCCGTCTGCACTGTGTGCACAGAATAAGACTCTACGGCAAGCTCCGGCTGGCCTCCAACCACTCCCTGTTCCTCACTGCCCCTGGTCCCATATATCCCTGGACTACTGTAGTGGAATTTTACTGTGTCTCTTTCATCTTCTTCAGTGTCTCACACTTATTCTACATGTTTGACCTGTTGCATACTTAGAAATGTGCCTGTTGTAAACAGACAGGGTGTCTGAGGTTTGCTCTCACAAGGTCGGCTCAGCGGGAGTGGAAATATTGACTGAAAACCCAGACTGTGGTTGCCAGGTGTTCTCCTCCTCTGCAACCGGTCTCTGGGAGCAAACACTTTGCTGAGAAAGGATGCACTTGACTATCTTTATGTAATCTGTAGCGATAGTATTAATATGCTGAGGGGGAAATACCTCGTCAGAGCTTCTGACTAAACTCCACATGAAGTGCTGTTTGTCTGTAATCTCTCCGCTGGCGTGAATAAATATACATTCATTTAAGCTTGACTTTGGGGTCCTTAGTGGTAATTTCCATGACAATCTGTCGTCACGAACTGGATGTGTGATTCTGTCTGGGGAAGGCATCAGTAAGGGTTTGCAAAGGAGACACCGGTGGCACTCTCCGTGGGAGAGTGAGGGAAATTCCTGTCCAACTAAAGACGATGTGGACCCGCACTTACCAGACCTCTACTGGTGACTGCCTGGGGGAAAGCACCACATTCACGAATCTGAACAGGACAACCCACTGAATTTCAGTAAGTCAATTGAAATGAATTTGTAGTGAAATTAAAAGTAGTGACAAGGATCCTAAATCCCAGAGAGGGGATTTGGTGCAGTACTGTTTCTAGGCATAATAGAAATGTCTATGTAGCCTGAGAGCTACGAGTAGTGAAAGTAGAGAAATGGGAGTTGAATACTGTACAGGGGTGTGTTGAACATGCATGCATGAGAGAATAAGTGTGAATAACTAACCTTTTTGACAGGAGGAATAGCCTCCTGTGTGAATAAGGAGAGTGTGGATTGTTAATTCTTAGACTGTAAAGGATAAGATTAATAGACAAGAAAATGGGTGGGAAGCACTCAAAAAGTAGGATGGAGGATCCATGTTGGGAGCCCAGGGGGGCTCTGGCAATAATGGAACAAATAATTGGTAAGGGGGTACTGGGGCAAACAGAGAACTGGACCGAGTGGACGAACGGGGTGTTCCCTTTTGAAGGTACTATGAGTACTGACAAACTGGAAGAAGCACGAAAGGTACTTGAAAAAGCAGAAAAGGAGAAAAATAAGAAAGTGAAGTGGGACGATTTTAGAAAATGGGAGAGAGAAGCTGAGACACAGAAGGAGAAAACTACAAAGGGTTTGATGTTGAAAGCCAATGTTGAGAAGGACAAAGAAAATAAAGAAGAAGAGGGAAAAGAGAAGACGACGAAAGAGACGTGATGATGAAGACCGATAATTACCAGACTCTGGCATCGGCACCCCTCCCTATCAGCCTGGAGGTGGAGCGAGCAGAGGAGAAGCAGCAGCAATAATGCCCGTTGCTGAAACATGTCCCTCTCCAGGTCAATGGGAGGGTGATTAAACCCAGAGACGGAAAGAGGAAGACAGAGTAAGAGAAGAAACAGACAAGAGGAAAGAGAGAGAAGAACGCAATAAAAAGGAAAGAGAGGAACGTGAAAGAGAACATGAAGAAGGAGAAAAATAACGAATGAGAGAGGAAAGAGAAAGAAGACTGAGAGAGGAAGATATCAAGTCTATGATGACTATAAGTAGATGGTCATCGTAGAAGGAGTCCTGAGCCAAAGGGACCAACGCAGGCCCGGAGTATAGGCCCAGAAGTTAGAAGCAGCAGACAGGGGAGGGCATTGAAGGAACCACCCCCCCTGTCGAAGAACAGCACACATTTTTTCTGAGTAGAGCTGTTGGTGGCTACAGCAACAGTTGGTGAGAGGTCATGTTGGGTCTGTGGGCTTGCTCCTCAAGGGCGAAACAAGGGACTACCATATATGGGGGTCCCCCTGAGAGTGAATTACACCCTAAGTGTGATGTCAGTCCCGCCCTTTAACCTATCCCCCAAAGAGACCAGACGACATGACCTTTTACCAGATGTATAAAGCCCCCAAACTCTGTGATGCTTATGCACGTCCTGATAATAGTAGTAACCCCCCTATCCCCATTGTGGGTTCTATGGTGGCCCCCTGGTGTATTAAAGGTAAAGGTAGTAATCATGTGCGAGAGACAGTCTGCAATTGTACACTGGACCAGGAGGGAGTGAACAATTGCAGCCTGACTAATTTGTCTATTTTTGTATTTTTGTGAAAGTTAATGCTGTGTCAAGGGATCCCCTTATTTGAACAGGAACATATTGGCTGTGTGGTAAGAACGCCTATTATAACCTGCCCCCTAACTGGGGTGGCACATGTACTGTCGGTTTTGTGGTTCCAGCAATGAGGGTGCTAGAGGAAACTGATGCAAATGAGAGAAGCCTGTTTGCTCCTCGTAAAAGGAGAACAAAGCGCTCCCTTGCTGGTATCACTCACGTTCAGACATCTGGCTCGTGGTTTCTGGGTGTGCTCGTGCCTTTATATGGGGTAGCTTGTGCCCTTGATCAAATTCGTGATTTGGTAATGAAAATTGAGAAAATGGGAAATGCCACCAGAGATGCTCTAGTGGCTCTAAATGGGGAAGTTAAGCAATTTAGAACACTTGTCCTGCAAAACAGAAAGCGCTTGACTACCTTTTGGCAGGCCAGGGTGGCACGTGTGCAATAATTGGAGATGAGTGTTGCACTTTTGTCCCAGATGTAGCCTTTAATGTGACTCATCTGGCCAATTGTATTGCAGACACTGCCAAACGTCATCAGGGACCGGTGGGGTGGCAGCTTACCACATGGTCAGAGGGTTTGTTCGAGGCCTGGGGATCACAGATAGCCCAGTGGGTTATAGTTGGTTTAGTTTTCTTGGCTGGTATTATTATGATGCTAGCCTGTTGTAAAGTGATCTGTTCGCTTTAGCTTCTCACATGACTGCAGTTTTGATGTTTAATGCACCCCCAGGCAATGACTGTGATGATCAGCTGTTTTTTCATGAGATGCCATTCCACAACACTTCATCACTGGTCTCCCTCCATCAGATGGCAACACCACTATCCCTACGGTGGTGGATAGGTTTTCCAAAGCCGCCCATTTCATTCCCCTTCCCAAGTTACCCTCAGCGAAGGAGGTGGCCCAGCTCATGGTGCAGCACATCTTCCGGATCCATGGACTTCGCGGTCCTCAGTTCTCGACCCGGTTCTGGAAGGCGTTCTCAACCCTAATTTTGTCGTCGGCCAGCCTGTCCTCCGGTTTTCATCCCCAGTCGAAGCGAGCCAATTAGGACCTGGAGACAGCTCTTCCTTGCCTCGTCTCTGCCAACCCCACCACCTGGAGCAAGCAACTAGTGTGGGTGGAATACGCCCACAACACCCTTCCCTGCTCGGCCACTGGTCTCTCGCCCTTCGTGTGTTCCTTGGGATATCAGCCCCCGCTCTTCCCTAAGCAAGAGGAAGAAGTCAGCATACCCTCTGCCCAGATGTTTGTCCGCCGCTGTCGCCGTACCTGGAAGAGAGCCCGGTCCACTCTTCTCAAGACCACCTCCCGGTATCGGCGACAGGCAGACCGCCACTGGGCCCCTGCTCCCCGCTATTGTCTCGGGCAGAGGGTATGGCTGTCCACTTGGGATCTGACCCTCCGGGTGTAGTCCCGTGAACTTTCCACCCGCTTTTTCAGACCTTTCCCCATCTATAAAATCCTTAGAATATAAGTATATAAGTAGAGAGAATGATTTATTTCAGCTTTTATTTATTTCATTACATTCCCAGTGGGTCAGAAGTTTACATACACTCAATTAGTATTTGGTAGCATTGCCTTTAAATTGTTTAACTTGTGTCAAACGTTTCGGGTAGCCTTCCACAAGCTTCCCACAATAAGTTAGGTGAATTTTGGCACATTCCTCCTGACCGAGCTGGTGTAACTGAGTCAGGTTTGTAGGCCTCCTTGCTCGCACACACTTTTTCAGTTCTTCCCACAATTTCTCTATAGGATTGAGGTCAGGGCTTTGTGGCCACTCCAATACCTTGACTTTGTTGTCCTTAAGCCATTTTGGAAGAATGCTTGGGGTCATTGTCCATTTGGAAGACCCATTTGCAACCAAGCTTTAACTTCCTGACTGATGTCTTGAGATGTTGCTTCAATATATCCTCATATTTTTCCTTCCTCATGATGCCATCTATTTTGTGAATTGCATCAGTCCCTCCTGCAGCAAAGCACCCCCACAGCATGATGCTGCCACCCCCGTCCTTCACAGTTGGGATGGTGTTCTTCGGCTTGCAAGCAACCCCCTTTTTCCTCCAAACATAACGATGGTCATTATGGTCAAACAGTTCTATTTTTGTTTCATCAGACCAGAGGACATTTCTCCAAAAAGTACGATCTTTGTCCTCATGTGCAGTTGCAAACCATAGTCTGGCTTTTTTATGGTGGTTTTGGAGCAGTGGCTTCTTCCTTGCTGAGCGGCCTTTCAGGTTATATCGATATAGGACTTGTTTTACTGCGGATATAGATACTTTTGTACCCGTTTCCTCCAGCATCTTCACAAGGTCCTTTGCTGTTGTTCTGGGATTGATTTGCACTTTTTCGCACCAAAGTTCGTTCATCTCTAGGAGACAGAACGCGTCTCCTTCCTGAGCGGTATGACAGCTGTGTGGTCCCATGGTGTTTATACTTGCGTACTATTGTTTGTACAGATGAACGTGGTACCTTCAGGCGTTTGGAAATTGCTCCCAATGATGAACCAGACTTGTGGAGGTCTACAATTATTTTTCTGAGGTCTTGGCTGATTTATTTTGGTTTTCCCATGATGTCAAGCAAAGAGGCACTGAGTTTGAAGGTAGGCCTTGAAATACATCCACAGGTACACCTCCAATTTACTCAAATTATGTCAATTAGCCTATCAGAAGCTTCTAAAGCCATGACATCATTTTCTGGAATTTTCCAAGCTGTTTAAAGGCACAGTCAACTTAGTGTATGTAAACTTCTGACCCACTGGAATTGTGATACAGTGAATTATAAGTGAAATAATCTGTCTGTAAACAATTGTTGGAAAAATGTCTTGTGTCATGCACAAAGTAGATGTCCTAACCGACTTGCTAAAACGATAGTTTGTTAACAAGAAATGTGTGGAGTGGTTGAAAAACACGTTTTAATGACTCCAACCTAAGTGTATGTAAACTTCCGACTTCAACTGTACATCCCACTTTTCACGTGTCTAGGATTAAACCTCTGTCTCACAGCCCTTTGTCTCCTGTTTCCATTTTTGGTTGAGATGGATCCAACATATCAATTATTAATTTGCAGACAAACTGGATATTACATTGTGTTTGGTAGTCAACACAACCAAATATCAACATTTGAAGGATATGTATCTTCTGCTTGGATAGTTCCGTCTGTGCCACATACTTCGGCTGGCTTTAATTCCAGTTTGTCTACAAATTGAGATGTTGGATTCACATCTCCATCTCAACCAAAAATGTATGTTAAAAAAATAGGACTAAATGTCACGCCCTGACCTAGAGAACTCTTGTTGGTTGGGTCAGGGTGTGAGTTTCAGTTTGAGATCTATGTGATCATATTCTATGTTGGAGATCTAGTATGTGTATGTCTAGGTTTGGCCGGGTGTGATTCCCAATCAGAGGCAGCTGTCGCTCGTTGTCTCTGATTGGGGATCATACTTAGGTAGCCTGGTTGCCTACCTTAGTTGTGGGATCTTGTGTTCCTGATAGGATGTGGTGTTAGCCCTTAGGACCTTCACGGTTACGTTGCTTTTGTTGTTTTGTCGAGTGTTTATTCGTTCTAATAAACATGTATGCATACTACGCTGCACCTTGGTCTGACCCGTCTCTCAATGACCGTGACACTAAATCAAATCAAACTTTAAATGCGCTTTAAATAAAGTTTCATTTGATGTAGTCCTATTCTTTAACTTACATTTTTGGTTGAGATGGAGATGTGAATCCACATATAAATTATTACTTTGTAGACAAACTGGAAATAAAGCCAGAATAAATCAGTGGCAAAAGATATATCCTTCAAATGTTGATATTTGGTAATATCAATTTGTAATACAGTATATAGCCTAAAGTTAATTTACACTTTAGCAGACGCTCTTATCCAGAGCGACTTATAGTAGTAAGTGGATACATTTTCATATATTTGTTCTGTACTGGCCCCCTGTGGGAATCGAATACACAACCCTGGCGTTGCAAGCGCCATGCTCTACCAACTGAGCCACACATCTTAATTCTACCATACCAACTAATGTAACAGTATTTATTCAACCTTAATGAGTAACACATCCATGGCCACATTTTGAGGTAACTGTAACTAAATGTCTTCTTACATAATCATAGAAAGCGTGCATGCTCAAGATAGCCTGCAAAGGTCGCTGGTCTGTGGAGATTTTCACAATTGCTATAATAATCTGTGCAGAATCTCCAACAGCCTTGATCACTTGCACAATGAACTTTTAATGTAATCTCAACTGCAATCCAGGTCATTTGGTATTAAATCAAGCACAGTGATAACACATTAAGCTGTTGTATAAATAAACTAAATATCTGACATTGTATTCCCATTTGAACTTCGGTGTGCTTTAAAAATGGTTAAAAGTGCAGTGATTACACATTTAGGTGACAACTAAACCAAAAATCGGACAGATTTTCTATTGGAATTTGTTTGCTCTTCTAGATGGTTGAAAGCATAGCAATAACGCATTGGGATTTCAACAAACTTTTGGCTGTCTTTTTGTGTGGGTGAAAATAGGTTGGAATCTCATTGATCAATGTATCTAACAAATATTACCCAATGCTCCACGTTGAAATGACGTGGTGTGCCCAGAGGGTAGGATCCAACATCCTTTACCATTGTGGCCACGGCTGCCAATTAATCAATCAACTTAATGTCGGTTTCATTTCCATCATGCAAACACCTCAATGAACCTCACACATTATAGGAAGAAGAAGGCCTTAGTGAGGTTTATATTATATTGTCAAAATCTAATCTTTTAAATTGCAGTGTATGATGGCCCCTTTATGCAGGGAGTGCAGCACTTTATCCATACCCTGTAAGTGTTAGCTTGATTAACATCACATCACTGGACGACCTTGAGCGCAGGAAATCCCACAGAGTAGGCAAAACTCACCCAGTCCTGTGATTAAACTGCACTAAGAAGTTTGCTGCCTGCCTCTGAACAAAAATCTGGCTGGCTGGCTGGCTGCCTGACTGGTGTATAACATACATGTGACTGGCTTGGCTGCCTGGCTGGCTGGCTGGCTGGCTGGTAGGCTGGCGCTTTGCATGCCTCAATGCCTCAAACTCAGGGTCATTTTGCTGTCAATTGTGTTTTTCGTTGGTTCTTCGTTAATTCATTATTATTTTCTCTTTTGGATCATCGGTACTGTCATACACTGGATTTACTAATAACTATAATCATTGCATATTTATTCATATATAGTGAGCTCCAAAAGTATTGGGACAGTGACACAATTTTATGCTGTTTTGGCTCTGTAATCCAGTACTTTGGTTTTGAAATGATACAATGACTATGGGGTTAAAGAGACTGTCAGCTTTTATTGTAAATATGAATCGAATATGTTTCTAAACACTTCTACATTAATGTGGATGTTACCATGATTACGGATAGTCCTGAATGAAAGTTACAGACGCACAAATATCATACCCCGAAGACATGCTAACCTCTCAACATTACAATAACAGGGGAGATTTCTTTTTTTTTTTTTGGGGGGGGGGTATGATATTTATGCCTCTGTAACTTTCTTGCTCATCATTATTCACGATTCATTCAGGATTATCCGTAATCATGGTAGCATCCATATTAATTCAGAAGTGTTTAGAAACATATTCTATTCTCATTTACAAAGAAAGTGACGCCAAAATGACATAATACATTATTTACCATTCATTTCTATTGGGCACAAAATAATCTGAAACAAACAGCAAATGCATTTTAATGTAATCTCAACTGCAATGTAGTCCCAATCTTGATGTAGACATTGTGTGCTATGAATATGGGAGCAAATACTTAACTTTGTACTACTTTAATACACATACAGTATAAGTGAATTTGTTCCAATACTTTTGGTCCTATTTACAAAAAATGATGTAATTTCTAAACGGTTCACCCCGATATTAGATGAAAATACCCTCAAATTAAAGCTGACAGTCTGCACTTCAACCTCATAGTCATTGTACCATTTCAAATATCCCAATACTTTTGGAGCTCATTGAGCATGTACATTCCATATGTTGACTGTGGTTTGGTTGGAATTATGCTGTGTTACTTCTAGGCACTCTGAACAGGAAGGTTATGTTTAGTTCCATACGGCGGCGCACAATTGGACCAGCGTTGTCCGGGTTTGGCCGGTGTAGGCCGTCATTGTAAATAAGAATTTGTTCATAACTGACTTGCCTAGTTAAATAAAGGTTAAATAAATAAAACAATTTAAAAAAAATAAAGTCTTTCTTGACCGTTGAACCTTGAGGTACAGCACAGGGATTTCTAGTATCACATATTGTAGTTCTGGCAAAAAACAAAAGCACCCAGCATCGAAGCAATGAAAATGGCTGACTGTTGCACAAAGTGTAGAGCCAAATTTTGATGAAAAATGGATGGATGCTGCATATGAGAAAGATAGTTTCACAAAAGTAACCCTAATGAGTTGGAAGGCGTGATACGTTTTTTTGCTCGGGTTAAAGTTTGGCAGGTGAATATTGTAGGCAGGGCCGGTGGAGAGGGGTAGAAGGGACAGAAGGGCCAAGGATGCAGGTCTGGTACACAGACAAGTAGCAATGGAGTCCCTTGGATGTAAAGTGGGGTGTCTTGGGAATTGTTTTGACTGAACTACTGTATATTCTAGAAATAACTTACAAGATAGAAAGAGAAGTAAATTACTTGCAAGGCCTTAGGATAGATAAAGGAAACTGTTACCTACTTACCTTTTTCACCTCGTACTTGATGGCCAGTTTGACCCTGCTCAGGAGAGAGCGAAGGCCCTGCCCCGCCTCCTTCTCGGCGGTAACATCTCCATTCAAAATGGCTTCCACTTCCTCCGTGTCCCGACAGAGGTCCAGCACTCCCACTACAAAGTCCTTACACTGCATAGACAGCTTGCGATAGTCATTCTGGATGGAGGTAGAGAAAACACAGGTTAAAGCCAAGACAGCTGCTGTAGACAGGGAAATGCAAGCTCGTCGGCATAAATCTCATTTACAAAGGTAATATGTGACACGAACATAATATAAACTTACAGTGGTATATTTTTCAGTGAGAAAACAACTCCTTTTCTCAGAAAACCCTTTTAGCATTCCCGAGTAACTGAGTACTACTTGGCTGGACAAAAAGAGCCATAGGCCTACGGTAGTGGTGACCCAATGGGAATATCTGTGTGTAATGATCTCGGCAATAGCTGAACTCACAAGAGCAGTGTTGTATATGCACATTTCATAACATTGTATTATTACTCAAGTAGGAAAATCTAAAATACATTTACATATTAATACTGTGCAGTGTACAAGGGGGAGGTAAGGTCATGGCCGCGGGAAGATGTTTTGGGGAGGTGCTGAGGAGTATTTTCTCTGCTCATAAAGGAATAATAAAGGCCTAGTTCACAAATATTGTGGATTATTATATTTAAAAAATATATAAATTAAAAAATATATAAAAAATACCCTACTTCCTACTGCTATGGGTCAGGTAATGTAATTGTTATCTGAGCGCATCCGCAATTTTATTCCCGTTTATTACCACAAATAGGCCTAATTCCAATAAACTTGTGGGTCCACTGATAATAGTCTAGTCCTATGCTAAATGACATCTCTGTGTTTTGATATAATTACTGTGCTTGCCAGGTGACCAGATTGACTGCATCCAGCACAGTATTAAAAAAGTATGCCCTTAGCATTACTTAGTATCATATTTAAGCTGTTAATTGAACTTCTGATCAACTATCGCTAGCTTGGATCCCTCTATTTGTTGATTATCTATCCAAAATAAATGTAATATATAGCTACAAGGAAGGAACAAACCATGCATGTTTCAATGGTATAATTCAGATATCAATATAAAATTGTATAATGTTTACACAACTTATATAATAAGTGTTGAGTTGACAACGGAATACATTTGCACATTTCAAATGCATGCAGTCTCATGATAAAACATTCGTTTTTAATGGTTTTGGCACATCTCACTTTGAACCGTCCTTATAACACACTGCCAAGCAGTAGCCTATCCCTTTTAACTAGAAAAGCAAAAGAATATGTTTTAAGTGAGAATAGGCATTGGTCTGAAGCCGATAAAGAAAGGGAATTCACATGAGCACCACAATGCCTATTCCACCAATGCTCTGCCAAGGTTTTCCAGCACACAGCTTTGACCTACTACAGTAGCTATGTTGGTATTGTACTTCAAACTATGTGTAGGCAGGTTGCTTAGGATTCAAACCTTCTCAAACAGCCTAATTCATACTCTTAGAGAAGGTGCTTTCACAATAATGTGATTTGTACCGCATACAAGGTAAAGTATTGGACTCTTCACAAACCACAGTAAGACATTATCCCATTAAGCTACCTTTTCATGCTTTTTTAAAATTAAATGAATGCAAGCTTTGTTTTTATACTTACAAGACCATAAGGCTTGATTGAGCTACTTTGTCTTATATTAATGTGGTGCATGTATGTACTTCCTTAAACATTTATTTAAGCAACGCTTGTCATAGATTCTTTTTCATGTTGGGCAGTTGGTGCCCAACATCACAACAGGTGGTGTGTTGGACACAGTAGCTCAGACAAGTAGAGCCTGTCTGCATTCCTGATTCCTGTAACTGTTAGCTTACGTGTGTAATATTGTGTAATATTTAATTAAGCTCAGAATCACTTGTGTTTCAAACATGGTCCTGTTTTATCAATTGCTGTGCTGATCAATGGACAGTTCATTACCTCTGTCAAAATAATGTGTAGCTTAAAGTAATGTTTGTATTGTATTTCTTGTTGCAATAAAGATGGTGACGCAACAATACTACACATTTACAATAGGCTTATATTTAAAAATACATCAAGTATCTTAAAGTAATGATGGACTGTCATTTCTCTTTGCTTATTTGAGCTGTTCTTGACATAATATGGACTTGCTCTTTTACCAAATAGGGCTATATTCTGTATGCCACCCCTACCTTGTCACAACACAACTGATTGGCCCAAATGCATTAACAAGGAAAGAAATTCCACAAATTGTCATGTACGTTAAGGAACGGGACGGACCAAGGTGCAGCGTGAAAGGCGTACATGTTTATTAAAGAATAAACACACGACACAGTAACCAAAATAACAAAACTTAACCGTGACGGTCCATTTTGCTACGGCTGGCCATGCTTTCCACCTGGCTACCACTACCCCGGCCACCAGCTCTGCACCCTCCGCTGCAACTTGCCCATGCCCCCCCCGCTTCTCCTTCACACAAATCCAGACAGCTGATGTTCTGAAAGAGCTGCAAAATCTGGACCCCTACAAATCATCTGGGCTAGACAATCTGGACCCTTTCTATCTAAAACTAGCCGCCGAAATTGTCGCAACCCCTATTACTAGCCTCTTCAACCTCTCTTTCGTAACGTCTGAGATCCCCAGAGATTGGAAAGCTGCCGCGGTCATCCCCCTCTTCAAAGGGGGTGACACTCTAGATCCAAACTGTTACAGACCCATATCCATCCTGCCCTGCCTTTCAAAAGTTTTTGAAAGCCAAGTCAACAAACAGATCACCGACCATTTCGAATCCCACCGTACCTTCTCCGCTATGCAATCCGGTTTCCGAGCTGGTCATGGGTGCACTTCAGCCACGCTCAAGGTCCTAAACGATATTATAACCGCGATCGATAATAGACAGTACTGTGCAGCCGTTTTCATTGACCTGGCCAAGGCTTTCGACTCTGTCAACCACCGCATTCTTATTGGCAGACTAAATAGCCTTGGTTTCTCAAATGACTGCCTCTCCTGGTTCACCAACTACTTCTCAGATAGAGTTCAATGTGTCAAATCGGAGGGCCTGTTGTCTGGACCTATGGCAGTCTCTATGGGGGTGCCACAGGGTTCAATTCTTGGGCCGACTCTTTTCTCTGTGTATATCAATGACGTCGCTCTTGCTGCTGGTGACTCTCAGATCCACCTCTACGCAGACGACACCATTTTGTATACATCTGGCCCTTCATTGGACACTGTGTTAACAAACCTCCAAACGAGCTTCAATTCCATACAAAACTCCTTCAGTAGCCTCCAACTGCTCTTAAACACTAGTAAAACTAAATGCATGCTCTTCAACCGAACGCTGCTTGCACCCGCCCACCCGACTAGAATCACTACACTCGACGGGTCTGACCTAGAGTATGTGGACAACTACAAATATCTAGGTGTCTGGTTAGACTGTAAACTCTCCTTCCAGACTCACATTAAGAATCTCCAATCCAAAGTTAAATCTAGAATCGGTTTCCTATTTCGCAACAAAGCCTCCTTCACTCATGCTGCCAAACATGCCCTCGTAAAACTGACTATCCTACCGATCCTTGACTTCGGCGATGTCATTTACAAAATAGCCTCCAACACTCTACTCAGCAAATTGGATGTAGTCTATCACAGTGCCATCCGTTTTGTCTCCAAAGCCCCATATAATACCCACCACTGTGACCTGTACGCTCTTGTTGGCTGGTCCTCACTACATATTCCTCGCCAAACCCACTGGCTCCAGGCCATCTATAAATCACTGCTAGGCAAATCCCCGCCTTATCTTAGCTCATTGGTCACCATAGCAACACCCACCCATAGTCTGCGCTCCAGCGGGTATATCTCACTGGTCATCCCCAAAGCCAACACCTCCTTTGGCCGCAATTCCTTCCAGTTCTCTGCTGCCAATGACTGGAACAAATTGCAAAAATCTCTGAAGCTGGAGACACTTATCTCCCTCACTAACTTTAAGCATCAGTTGTCAGAGCACCTTACCGATCACTGCACCTGTACACAGCCCATCTGAAATTAGCCCGCCCAACTACCTCATCCCTATATTGTTATTTATTTTGCTCATTTTTACCCCAGTATCTCTATTTGCACATCATCTCTTGCACATCTATCATTCCAGTGTTAATACTAATTGTAATTATTTTGCACTATAGCCTATTTTATTGCCTTACCTCCATAACTTGCTAAATTTGCACACACTGTATATATATGTATTTCTGTTGTATATATATATATATTTTTACTTTGTTTTGTTTTACCCCATATGTAACTCTGTGTTGTTGTTTTTATCGCACTGCTTTGCTTTATCTTGGCCAGGTCGCAGTTGTAAATGAGAACTTGTTCTCAACTGGTTTACCTGGTTAAATAAAGGTGAAAAAAAAAAAAAAAAAAAAAGGCTAACACACAAGCCTAAAACAGGAACATAACAAAAACCCACAACACAGGCAGGAAAACTGGCTGCCTAAGTATGATCCCCAATCGAGTGACCGCTGCCTCTGATTCAGAACCACACCCGGCCAAACATAGAAATACAAACCTAGAAATTCACACCCTGACCAAACTAGCTAGAGTTCTATAGGCCAGGGCGTGACAAAAATAAACTTTTAAGAAGGCACACCTGTTAATTGAAATGCATTCCAGATGACTACCTCATGAAGCTGGTTGAGAGAATGCCAAGAGTGTGCAAAGCTGTCATCAAGGCAAAGGGTGGCTATTTGAAGAATCTCAAATCTAAAATATATTTTGATTTGTTTAACACTTTTTTGGTTACTATATTATTCCATATGTTTTATTTCATAATTTTGATGTCTTCACTATTATTCTACAATGTAGATAATGAAAAACCCTGGAATGAGTAGGTGTGTCAAACCTTTTGACTGGTACTGTATATACTTCGGAAAGTATTCAGACCCCTTGACTTTTTCCACATTTTGTTACGTTACAGCCTTATTCTAAAATGGATTAAATACAACAATTTCCTCAGCAATCTACACACAATACCCCATAATGACAAAGCGCAAACAGCTTCTTCTTTTTTTGTTGCATAAGTATTCAGACTCATTGCTATGAGACTTGAAATTGAGCTCAGGTGCATCCTGTTTCCATTGATCGTCCTTGAGATG